TAAATTTGAGAGGTGTGAGGTTAAAATGAAATCGAGTCCTATCCATCAAAGTGTCCACATAATGAACTGCACCATTAGTCGACATAAGTTATGGTAATGAATGTTGAATTTAGCATAGCATTTCTGTAAAAGAAAAATAAACATTTATGATAAAACCTTCAACTTCATCTCCAGATTTAAATTCTCCCACCCGTCTCCCTCCTTGAGAAGCTTGTCCTTCAATCCTTTTTTTTTTGGTACAAAAGAATTCTTTTTCTCTATAGCATGTTACCTTGTTAGCAATCACAACAACATCGGGATTTTCCAGCTCCCACCAACTTTAACAGCAATTGCCACCTTACCTAGAAAAGAAGAAATTTATAATCATAAATTATTAAACCCATAAACCTGTAAGGCATTATAAATTTGCCAAATATGATAAAGAATACCGAGGTACCTTTAGGCTAACGCCGGCTCTGAACCAAACACCACCAGCCACCTTCATGCTGTGTCGCTCAATGATCCATACTCAAATTCGGACTCCCCACAGTCCGACTTTCGGTCGCTCTCATATCCTTGTTCAAATTCAGGCCTCTCCCAGCCCCTCGTATAATTACACACCAAGACTTCGTCTACAACATACTCAATTCATTTGGATTTACCAATTACCACATGAAGAACAAATGATGTTGACCCGATAGGAAAGCAGTTCAACGACGTGTGCTAATCAAGGTAGCAACACACACAATCTGAGGCAAAAAAAAAAATAATAATAATAATAATAAAAACAATAAAAAAATGAACAACCAATGTATAACCAATGTGAAGGTTCTTATTGAGTTTGCTTAAAAGCTCGTAATCACAAGAAACCCAGCACATAATTGCATGAATATAAGGACGAAATGTATTGAACTAACATAGATTTGAACGTAATTTCGAGAGAGTATAAGCACCTGTCTGTAGATCATGTCAAGGATGAGCAACAATAGTGTAATACTCCGTTCGATTGTGGATTATTGGTGTTATTATTTATTTTCTATATTATTATTTATGCTCTTTTTTTTTTATTATTATTATTAATACTATTATTATAATTGAATGTCTATATATATATTTATTTGACAAATTAAAATTATTTGTCTAAATGCATATTATTATTATTATTATTATTATTATTATTATTAATTTAAAATATGATGTGTATTATAAATATAGATAATCCGGATTAATTTATTACTCACCGTCGATCGAACATCTCGTGAATTCTTATATCGCGTATATTTTTATTTCGGCCCGAAGCGACTTAATTCATCGGCCTTTTGCCATTCTTTTTCCAGCCCAATGTAATTAATTTCGTGGCCCAATTCCTTATTGATTTTTGGTCCAAATTGAGATGTTTATACCTTAGCCCAATTAGAAGATGATAATTCTTGGCCCATTAAGGACCAATTTGATCCGCTGCTTTCCATTCCATCGCCTAAGACCGAGTCGTCTTCTTCACCCCCCCTTTCAAATAATTGTTCCGATACTTCAGTGAAATCTCTTGCACGTTCTCATCCCATTTATCTCGTTTATTTAAGAACCGACAAGGAACTTTTCAACTCAAAACCGTTCAAGCAGTAATCACATATCCCTGCTCTCATCTCTCTTATTCATTGTTTAAAAAAAAAAAGAAAAAAATCGTAAACCTGCAACTTCTTCGGCGAACCTCCCACCCTTGCCGGAAGTTTCCTCATTTCAACATCCCTCATTGTCGTCGTCGAGAGAGAAACCGAGCCCTCTGTTCCAGCCGCTACCTTCCTAGCTGCAAGTTTCATATTTTTCCGACAACTGCCCCGTCCTCCATTGATTCCGGCGAGCACCTCCGAGCAGCCCCGCCTTCACCGACGTACACTTCAGCAAGCCGCTACTCGTGAGCAGTCCCCGTGTTCAGAGTTTTGAGTCCCGTCGAGGCTCCATTCGTTCCGTCTCGTTCCGACCAGTTTTTCCAATTTCTCGTAAATTCCCGAAGACGGGTATCTATTTCCGAACTTTCTCATTATTTTATTCTGCTGGTACTTATTCGTTGATTCATCGTGTTCGTCAAATCGATGTCTCGTTGATTGTTTGGGTTATTAATCGTTTCTTATATGGGGTGTTGTTTGTGAATTTACGTGGATTATCGGAACTCTCGTTTATCGTGTTAAATGAGTCTCGTTGTTGCTGTGAGTAATTCGTTTAAGTTTGGAATCTCGTTTTATTGTTTCGAGCCTTGCCGACGTGGTTGTGTCGTTTATTATTTTTCAAGCCATACTATTGTCGGTTCGATTTTCGATTCAAAAACCCGTTTTAAAAATATTTCGGGAACTCTAGAAAAATGTATGTTCCATGATGTTATAAATGTTCGAACACCCTCGTGAAATTTTTGTTGAAACTCGGCCGTTTGCGAACCTGCATAACATCCCTATTAATATTTTACTCTCTGTTTTCTGTTAGGTCCTAGGTTTAAGTTTTAGCTTATAGCCCACGATTTCATTTTTAATTGCATAAAGGCGTGCGTCATAGTGGTGTTGCTACCCAATTTCCGTACGTATGTCCTGGGTTCGATCCCCTCAGCTGCGTGAAGTAGATTTTTTATTTATATTTTTATTAGCCCCAGCAGCGAGGGCTTTTTGGCCCGCGTTCGGACCGATCATCTCCCTCATCAGTGTAGGCTAGATTTTTTATTTTTATTTTTATTAGCCCCAGCAGCGAGGGCTTTTTGGCCCGCGTTCGGACCGATCATCTCCCTCATCAGTGTAGGCCCACGAGCCCGATTATGGCCCGCTCCAGCCCGCGTTTTTCCCAGTTGATTCCAGGCCTCTTTTCAGCCCAATTTGAGAGTCCTTTTTCGGCCCAGTTTGCATGTGTGCGGCCAAAGTAGGGCAGTTTTGACTAATGCTTGGCAGCTTGGGCCCAGTTCGTTTTTAAGCCAAATTTTGTGTTCCGGAGCCCGTTTTTCGACCCAAACTAATTTTTAAAATTATTTTCAAAGTAGAAAAATTTGAGAAAATTATTTTAAGTCCCGAGACTCTAAATTAATTTTTTCGAGTCCTATTTTGCAAAAATGAGAGGGTTCCAAGTCCACGAAAAGTCCAATTAAAACCCTTAAACCTTAATTTTGATTAAGTGTGGGTTTGTTATTGAATTTGTGAAGCGAGATAGATTATTGATAAATTATCTCGCTTAATTGTAGGTATTTGAGAAGTCGAGCCCTCGACCTACTTACTTGCTTTTGTGTGCTATTATCTACCAAAATTTTAAGGTGGGTCTTGAAAAATTTCTATGCTTTAAATGTTATTACTGTTTTAATTGTGTTATGATCAAGGTATGAATGTGAATCATGTAGCCTTCGGTGTGAGCTGTATCGGCCACCGGACGGTTGTCCCCGTAGCTATAGAACGTACCTTCGGGTAGTCTCCCTTGCTTTTCTGAATTTCAGTTTTATTGCTTTTCTGAATTTGAGTTTTGGTTCTGGAATAACTCACGCTCGTGATTTGTTAAATAATTGAGACATCCGATAGCTGCTGTTAAGGACATATCCTCAAAATTGGATGGTCAAATAATTTCATCTCTTTTTAGTTTCATTTGCTCCCTTTAGCCGTCCATCTATCAAACTAGATTCTAACACCACACGACAAATAAAACATTTTGTATTGTTTTTATTTCGCTTGTCTGTTTACGTTAATATTTTGTAAGTCAGTTGCTTGACTTTCCAAAGCATACATGCACGAGTTTTTTTATTTTATTTTATTTTATTGTTTTTTTTTTAGCTCAGGTGGAGCAAGCTGGCGAGCATGAATGTGGCTCGCTATGACTTTGCGTGCGCTGAGGTGGACGGGCGGGTGTATGCAGTCGAGGGTTGCAGGGCAGAAGGAGAGTCCCTCTCGTGTGCAGAGGTGTACGACCCGGATGCGAATGCATGGGCGTCTATCGAGGGCCTTCGCAGGCCGCGCTGGGGCTGCTTCGCGTGTGGGTTCGAGGGGCGGGTGTACGTGATGGGTGGGCGGTCGAGCTTCACGATTGGGAATTCACGGTCAGTGGAGGTGTACAGCCCCGGGAAGGGTGCGTGGGTGCAGATGAAGAAGGGGTGCGTCATGGTCAAAGCTCATGCAGTGGTTGGGGACAGGCTGTGCTGCATGGAGTGGAAGAACGAGCGGCGTCTCGCGGTCTTTACACCCGCAGATAATTCTTGGAAGCTCGTGCCCGTCCCTTTGACGGGAGCGCAAGCATTGGTTTCCGCTTCGGGATATTGGATGAGAAGCTTCTACTGTTCTCAGTGCAGGGAGACCCGGGGTATTGCACGCTCATGAACAACCCAAATGCGGGGCCTGGGTCTGAATGGGGGACATCTCAGATCAGGCCTTCGGGGGTTTGCCTCTATTGTATCACAATCAAGAGTTGAATCTGATTGCACTCTTTTTATTTATTTTCAATTCTTTTATGTGGACTATATTCTGTTTTTATTTCAATCCAATCTCTCCCTGAATAATGTGGAACATTGACCTAGCTTTATGAGTTGGAGCAGATTATGTATGTATCTTTTAAGTGTGTATAATTAAGTGTGTATAATGGACAATATACCTTTTATTTACTACATGATGTAATTTCATACGGGTGTGGGGTATATTTCTGATATATTTGTCGCCATTAGTTCATGTAATGTGTTCGGTAGATTAAACTAATA